CGGTGGCGTTGAGAGCATGGTCTTGCTGATACAACGAGAGTGGCCGGTGTATCAGTTGTCCACTAAAATCGTCGACCAGGCAAATTCTTCGGGGTCGTGCTTGTCATACATGATCACGAGCTCGCATGAACAGCCGGCCTTTTTTGTTCCGCGATCTCGCATTGACGTGTGCCGACTGTGGGATCTTCTATGATGTTTTTCTGCCAGCATGTGAGAAAACTGCGCTCGGGACCAATCGAACAGCCGCGGGATACACTAATAGCAACGCCTTAGCGTACGGCGTCCTGCTTTAAAGCCTCTACAGCCGTCTTATGACTGTCAAAAGGCCCGACCGGTGGAGATTCTTCACAGATATATGAGAGATCAGCGGCGGCAGGATTAAGGCCAGCATCAACTTAGAACTTAACCTGATTGTCAGCGACGACAGAATTAGTATCAGCATTAACGACCGTAGCAGTGGCAGCAGAAGTAGTGGAGGTGGACAGAATTAGTATAAGTATGAACGACCGTAGCAGTGGCAGCAGAAGTAGTGGAGGTGGACAGAATTAGTATTAGTATGAACGACCGTAGCAGTTGCAGCAGCACTAGTGGATGTGGATGAAGGGCTCATCATCATGCGTTAGACAACAAGGATTTTCTTTTTGAATTGACGTGGCTATGTAACAGGTGCCTTTCTACTTCGCTTATCCTGTAATATTCGAAGTGACGTGGCCCGAATGTGATACAACGGTTGTCATATAAACATTAGTCTAATGGATAGGCGCGCGGTGTATTTAGCCATAATGCTAGGTGTATTTAGCCTCTCCCGGAATGGGTTACTACTCCTGATTCTGCCACTGAATAGGCTCCTGATTCTGCCACTGAATCTGTACTGCTTCCGCAGTTTTTTACATCGAGACAGGAGCAGCTCTCACGCTCTCACGTCCTCGACAACAGACGACGCAGAGTCTACTTCTGTTGGTGAGTGTCTCTCACTACTACTACTACTACTACTACTACTACTACTACTACTACTACTACTACTACTACAACTACTACTACTACTACTACTACTACTACGACGACGACCACTACCACTACTACTGCTACAACAACAACAACTACTACTATTACTACTTCTACTACTACGACCACTACCACTACTACTACTACTACAACTACAACAATAACAACAACTACTACTACTACCACTACTACTACGACGACGACCACTACCACTACTACTGCTACAACAACAACAACTACTACTATTACTACTTCTACTACTACGACCACTACCACTACTTCTACTACTCCCACTCGTCCCACGCGCCTCTCGGGACTCGCAAGCGGACCCGCAGGTCCGACCTCTTTGGTGCGACCGACAGAGCGCGCGCTGAACGCCATCGACGGCCGCGGGAGCGACACCGCCGGACGCAGATCAAGAGGCGTTGGCGCCGCAGAAGGCGACGCTCCGTCTGCTCGCCACGCGCTCGTGACTCCCGACGAGGCCGACGCCAATGCGGCAGTTGGCGCACCAATCAGACACTCGGACGGCCGCGGGGCTCTTTTCACGCTCCGCTCGCGCGTGACACTCGTCGACGGACGTCGCGGAGTCCACCCGAGTCGCTCAGCCGTAAACTGCGCTGCACGCGACTGTCGGACGAGATGCGTCTGCGTCGCGTATGCACAGTCTGTGCGCAGGAGAGCTCTGGGCACAAGGACGAGGGCCCCGCGGCGCTTGTCCTGACAGCTGAAGGCGACATGCGCAGTGCGCTGAGCAATCTGAAGGCCGCTGCTGGTGGGCGCCGCTGTATCAGCGACGAGAACGGGTGTCGCGTGGGCGATGAACCGCATCGAGCGGCTGTGAACGACCTGGTGACTTACTGTGAGCAAGCGCGACTCGGTCAGGCGACGGCACCTGCACTTGGACTGGTGGAGAGCGGCGACTGCCTGTCGCTAGATAACACGACACGATCGTCCGAGTGTGCAACGCACTATCGATGCCAGACGAAACGCTGAAGCTCGAGTCCAGTCAGCTCATTGGAGCGACGCACAAGATGGCGTCTCGACACAGTCGCAGCTCTTCTATGGCTCTCTCGCGCGACTCTGTGCTGTAGCAGTGGTCGCAACGACAACAGGCTGAGACTGAAGGAAGCAGCACTTGCAATGGCTTTGACGTGCAAAGGGAGCTAGATATCCGATAGGAGGCTTGAGTGTCTAGCAGCCAGTCGCCGAAAAGGAAGACTTGAAGTGTGTAGCCGACAGGTGCTACATGCAAAGCTGGGTCTGAGACTACCACTCAGTTCCAAGGTCCAAGTGCTGCGTAAAATACGTGGTCGGCACCTCCTGGTGTTGCTCCTCTACGTAGCTGCGCTGATTGGGCACCATGGCGCAGGTCACGATGGCCTTAACGCACCGGTCGAGCAACGTTGGGCCAACGACTCTACGGAACTGCCGTTATGGCGTGCCATGCGCGAGCGATTGAGATTGTGTGATCTGTGCGTCCAGCTACTGCACGCTCTTTTGAGTGTGAATGTCCAGATACGCTACATGGGCTCAGACAGGCAGCAGCTACTGTCATCGCAGGCGCCAAGCTGCAACGTTCTCATGATGGCACACCGCTGACGTGTCTACAGTGGGTCCGGTGGATGGCTTGTACGGTGTGCATCCGCCGTCTTGTTGCTTTGTTGACATGCGTTGCTGTCTGCCGTTTGAATCTATTGCCCGCGTTCTATGCAGATGAACATGCCACTGTCATTTGCAGTTTCGCATGGAGGGGGGGTGTCGTAAAGAAGATGACGTCTTTGATGTGTCGGACGATAGGACCGAATGTCGAGATGGCTTGTTCGGCCTGGTCTTGTTCGCGACCTCTGCATCTCGTTCGAGCTTGCCTGACGCTCGGCAGTCGTCACACGAGTCCGTGTGATGTCGGACGGGCTTTGAGACGAAGAAAGACACGTCTGTTTGCAACCCCTTTTTTGCTTTCCATCCGACGACAAGCTAAGTGTGTACTGTTCCGCGCACTCACTGTCGAGCAAGTCAACCTCATCGAGCAGAGGACCTTTGTTGGTTGACACGTGTGAGAGTGGCCCGAAGTCGTCGTCTTTTTCGTGGACGGCGTGTCGCAGGGTCCGGAACATCGAAGTTGCTGAACGATCAACATGAACCGTGTCACGTTCGGTACCATTGTCGTGCCGCACCGTTGCCGTGTTTGCAACGACTTGCGAATGGGCAATACTAGCGCGTCGCTGGTCTCGTGGAGCGGTGACGCGAATTTGTACAGCAGCTTCTACGTGAGTATGTAAGAGCGAGAAGAATCAAGCAAGTAAACGGCACGTCATTGTCGCTGAGGAGGAGGAGGAGAAGAAGAAGGAGGAGCATTTTTTGCTGAGCTTGTGTAAGTCTGATGATCAGGCAAGAGTAGGCGTGTGGGGTGTAAAGTCCCATCCCAGTTCCAAAAGACGGCTGACAACTTCATGCGGAGCCGATCGCGCTCGTCTGTGATTTTCCTTCGTCGCTGCTACAATCTGATTGAGATCGACAGGTTTGCGAACCCGAGCGATGCTCAACAACTTGAAAGTCTGTTCGGAAGCAGCACCAGTTGTGAGCACGTTCAGTGTTCAGTGAGCACCTCATGCTCCGCATTGCGCTCTCACTGATCGCAAATGCGTCATGCACGCAAGCTATGGCGCACTGTGGCAAGGGAGAAGGCAAGTTGAAGTGACACAGCGTCTCCGAAATGTGACAGTCTCACACACAATGGGTCAAAGAATGCGTAGGCCTCGGCACAGCTGCGCTTCACTCGGTTGTTGCATCACGATCTCGGGAACGGGTGCCGACTTTGTGAGGCCCTTCAGGCGAGAACGGGTCGCATCGTGTTGCGACGACATGGTTTGTGCTCGCCCGTCTTGTGTTGGAGAAGGACGTTGTGGACTTGTTGCCATTGACGTTGTTGCGTGTTTTAGTGCATTGACACTTGAGTTTGTTGGCGCGAGTGTGTGGAATAGAGCGCATCGATGAAGTGGTCGCAAAGCCTCATCACTCGAAGACCACATGCAGAATCGAAAGAGTTGACTTTGACGCGATCTTTGCAACGAATGGCGGCACGAGCTATGATATACATGACGGAACGACCGAGGCTGGCAGTGCACGAGTCCTTCGTGCTCAGAAACAGTAGTCTTCGGCGCTACAGTTGTTGCAGTCGTGTGAAGTTCACTCAGCTACGGCTTTCTCATCAGATTCATATAAATCTGTGTGTTGTCGATGATGTACGACAGCCAAATAGTGTCGTCTTCATGTTTGTCGTCCTCGACGCCGTTCATCCTACTCTGTAGCTACTTCAACAGAAGCATGCCCCAAAGTACACCCTCTAGCTTTTCATCCCAATGGCCGCCGGTCGACAGCACCTAGAGTTCTGTCTGCTAATTTTGTTGTATGTCCAGCGAAGCGAAACAGCCGCTAAAGAACGAGTTCTCACGGTCAATGGCTACCTCTTCCCTCCCGTGCGTGAGCTTGAGGTCGAAGTGCATGACCGGACGGACTATGCACTTAACGCCAGTGACGTGTTTGCGCTTTTCCTTCGTGCCAAACACTTCGGACTTCTTGCTGCATGCGTGACACGCACGAGAAGACTGCATCCCAACCGGTGATTTTATTTTCCAGAGTGCAAAGGCGTTGACATGATGAGGTTCGCTAGTCGCCCCTAAAACAACGAAAATACCACCTACTACAGCCAGAGAAGTAGAACACTTCGACAGGTGAATTTGTGCTCAGTAGTCCTTTTAATCGGTACTCCTCAGGGCGGGGAAAGATTAGTTACGTCAGATGTATCAATCGAGTAGAAGAAGATGACTTTATGTTAGAAGCCGGTTGACTCTTCTCTACAGCATTTAGTCACTCACTCACCGTACATTTTGAACTACCAACACCTTTCTTACTAACGAACCAGCACTGAGAGTAAACAACCTAGGGACTGAAACGATGCAACTCTGATGATGGTGGTGCGGGTGGTGCAAGTGCTACGTGCCGTGTCCCAACACATCACGTAGTTGGTAATCGCCGTAGCGTCGAATAACCTGTTTTCTCCAGTCCACAGGGTCCAGCCCCTGAAATTTAGCGAGGGGCACGCCAAAATTTTCAATGACGACAGTTTGAGGAGTTGCCAGTTTCGCCGTCCAGGTATCAAACTGGGCATTCTCAATCACTTTAGCCATCTCCTTCCCGATTTTGTTACCCTTTTGTCTCTCCATCTCCAACACAATCGCTGCCACGTCATCCCCGAGATGCCCACGCAGGAAATTGTAAAAGTCCTTGCCCACAACCTTCTGCTTGTGGTGCTGACCGAGTTGCTTGTACGTGGCCACGAGCGCGTCACTCTCCATGAAACGGCGAGCGACATCGACTTTGATCTCACTAAGGACATGTGGACGCGGGGCATGTTCCATCAGATTGACGACCGATTCAGCCTCTTTCAACGTGTACACCTCCTTGAGCTTTTCCTCAAACTCCGCCATCTTGCCCGACCTGAACCAGCTCATTAACCACTCGAAGAACCGCATCAGGAAGCGTTCTTCGTCCCCTCCTTGGACTGTTGAAAGAGCGCGGAATGTTTGCTTGGGTGGCTCGACGTCCAGTTTCGGCGACGTCTCGACGGGTGCGTTGTTGGAGGCCCCAGTGAGGTCTGCCACGACGAAGAGCGACGCACTCACGAGGAGTCCGACGAGGTGGATAAACTTCATGGGCTTGCGGTGGATATGGGGGCGAACGGATAATGTGCACTGGACTGCAAAAGGAATTGTGATCACTGCTGACAGCGCTGCGCTGCGCTGCAACTTGTTGCACAAATGATTTATTGTATATGGAAGTTAGTATGGTACGGGTCGTGACGCTGTAACTCCGTGCTCTTGAGCAAGCAAGCTGCGCGTCGATCTGGTGGACGGAAACACGAGAGAAAAAAAATCCGGTAGAAGCTGCTCAAATTGTTCATCAACGAGTGGCAGGCGAGCTGAGTTTCTGCTGCACTTGCCATTTGTATCGCTGAGCTTCTGTGTCATCTCCAGCTACGCATCGCACAGTCTCTCCACACGCGGCTGCGAGATACTGGGAGGCTGTCGCTCCTGATCGTTGTAGCAGTTTCCGGGCCATAAAAAGCACTTTCACTGGTGTCCAAGACGTTCAACTGCGTCGTTCAGAGTGGCATCACTGCTTCTGGATTGCTTGATTAGTAGAGGCAGGTGGTAGAAGTGGCCAGTGGACATAAATACAGTCTCGTCCTTTACACTGTGTTTGTGCTTGTAAAATGGAAGTGGTCAACACGGGTCTGATCGACCAGATTGTCAGCCGAAAAGATCCGGGCAAAACGTGCTGGTGCAGCTTGAAGTCCAGGAGTAATGGAGGCTTCAGATTCCACAGCACTTGCGTTTTGTGTCGATAAGTATGCGGCGTCAGCATGTCCTGTCTCTGCGCTGTACGGCCTTTCCCATTATTGAAGCTGGGATCCCTTGGGCTCCCTCTACATCGACGGTAGCATCATTGTATGCCATGCAGGGATATCTCTCTGGTCTCTCTCATTTTGAACTGCACCCACCGAGAGCTGCGCTTCCACTCATTGCACAGCCAAACGTTTTCGAAATATCGAATTACCGGGTGCTCCACTACAGATAAGGCTCCCTTATTTAGTATAGCTGGGACCGTCCAATTTTGATTAATTTAGGGAATTATTAGCTAGCAGAGTTAGCGGAGTAGAATTGAATCGAAAGGTGCTACATGTTTATAAAGGCGCCTCGGCATATTTCTCGCACATGAGCTTGTAGCTTAAGTGGTATGGTGTGGCAGCACCAAGCGAGAGATCACCGGGTCGACATCCGGTGATTCAAGTAAAAAGTTTAAGCCTTCGGATTCTAATGTGCCGGGGCTTACCAGCACTGTCCTGTCAGGCAGTGACGACCCCTACTTAAAGTACGTGATCGTGCTTGTTAAGATATCACAACCTAGCAGGAGACTGCAGAGGAGTTCTCATGGATGTTTTAAAAAATGCAGGATTATGTTAGAAAATTATCCAGAGTTCGTTACTTAAGGAATATTTTTCCTCAGGAAAAAAAAATTACCCTTACCAATAAACTCTTTCTATTTTTTTGTAGTGGTCTCTCGGCAGTTGTTTAATTATTGTCCGTCAAAAATTTCTCTGGCTTAAATAACAAAAATTAAGGATTTTTTATTATTGTACTGGGTCCGAAATAGGTATCGATTTTTTTTAGAAAGGGAGATTAATAAATAAGTATAAAATAAATTACGGAGATTCGACTGTAATTACAATGCCAGCATAAATACTTTGAAATTTAAGCGATTGGAGCAGCAACAGACAGAGACTAGGACTTCCTTGCAGCCAGTACTTCGAATCCCATACCGTTGATGGGAAGTTCCTACTTTAGTGGGTCCAAGGGCAAACGGGGGGGGGGTCTTACTGTGCTGCGATGCTATGCGAGGCAACGCAGCGTGCAACCTGAACGGTGTAACGGGGTAGCCCGTTACATGACATTGTCATTAAGGATAAATCACAATAAAGAATATTATGTTGTATATTCTTACAACAATATCACAAAGGATGATGATATTGTTAAAGATGACCGAAGGGTCTTCTCATTGGTTGATATCGTGATGATATCAACCCACCAATCGATTCTAGATGCGCTCAATGGGTGGCGAGTAGACGTCATCATACGTTTAGTTAAATTAATATAATTAAGTCAGGACGAACACTGACACAAGAGGGATAGCATTCAATTGTATTAAATAACCTTTTTGCTTTTACCACTACTAGATCCTTTTCTTCAGTCGTTTACTAACTATTTGCAAGTGTTTACACCTAGCTGGGCACTGACCTTCACTGTTGTCAGTGAACGGTAAACACCGCATTGGTAGCCCAGTACGTAGTCGTCGGTGCCCCGTTACAATGGGAAGTGATGAACACCAAGTCACTTGACATGGTCCAGTGTAAGTTCCGTTTGGGTTTATGCATAACGTAGTGTTGACAAAGTAATTAGTTAACACTGAATATATTTCACGTTAAATTTAATCTTCCGTTGCATAGGTGGAACTTTAACACCGCATTTTAACAATACGACCTCTACCTTGGAAGTGAGGTATTCTTAGTGTGGTTTAAGGGCAAATGGGAGGAGCTCTATTCTCCGTTGCGCTTGCTTCGGGAGGCAATGCAGCATGTGACCCGACAGGAGAGCAGCGCGGCGTTAAAGCGTGGCGGGGGCTCTCCGGCGCAGCTCGACCTCCCTCACCACGTCGCAAGCTAGTATGTACCCTTCTTATCCGCTTCCCTGATGCCGCTTTGTTCCCCAGGCGCGAATTCTGGTCCCACGAAGTGAACTTTATACGAAATAGAAGCTGAAAGTCGCGATCAAGTCTTATATGTCAATGTCAGGAATAAGTTAAGATGGCTCGTCTGACATAGCTGTAGTAGCGCACAGCGTCATTTTTTGAACGCCATGAATACCCTGCGCGACCCGAGCTTTATTGTTGGTACTCGTGACCTTCGCGTGCAAGTGTTCTCTAGAAATCCCGGTTTTTGAGCCAGAAGAACGGATCAATTACTGGTAAGAACGACGTTTTCACGGGTAATTAATTGGGTAATTCCATAATGACAACTCTATAACCCATTGCTAAAGATTGCATCAGACAGTCTAAGTAATCATCTTCATCACCATTATCTACCGTGACACGACCTTTACCTACCGTTACCCTCACATGCTGGTTCAGTGCTCCAGGCGTCACGAAAGACACTCCTAGAAGGCCACGTATGAATGACTGTTGACCAAATCTGTGCTTAGATCTGTGTGTGCACTCTTACCCGGATAGCTAGGCTGCGCTGTCTGCGCTTCGCGCCTTGATTGCGTCGGATACAGAGGATAAATGGCTACGAGGCCTGATCCACTTAAGGAGTCCTAGTGTGTCATCCGACACAATCTTTGGCCGTTTTTGTGAAGGTCTACTTGCTCTACCCTTCAGGCCAATCCCAGTGCACAGTCGGCATAGACGTGCGTAGGATCACCACAAGACGACGAAGTATCTTCTCATACTGCTGATTTATCTATAGTGAACGACCAACACTGGGTCTCAATAGAGTACCTACGTTCTAGACGTAGCTTTTTCCATTAGGATGGGTGTCGACCGCAGCGAACAAGTTGCCGCGAGGATGGGGAGCAATTTGTTAGAGCAGGAATAAACCTAAGCACGGGGATGTCGATCTGTGTCGGCGTCCTGTAGCGCGGGACATCGAAGGGTTGCACCCCGTTTGTAACGGGGCACCGACGACTACGTACTGGGCTACCAATGCGGTGTTTACCGTTCACTGACAACAGTGAAGGTCAGTGCCCAGCTAGGTGTAAACACTTGCAAATAGTTAGTAAACGACTGAAGAAAAGGATCTAGTAGTGGTAAAAGCAAAAAGGTTATTTAATACAATTGAATGCTATCCCTCTTGTGTCAGTGTTCGTCCTGACTTAATTATATTAATTTAACTAAACGTATGATGACGTCTACTCGCCACCCATTGAGCGCATCTAGAATCGATTTGTGGGTTGATATCATCACGATATCAACCAATGAGAAGACCCTTCGGTCATCTTTAACAATATCATCATCCTTTGTGATATTGTTGTAAGAATATACAACATAGTATTCTCTATTGTGATTTATCCTTAATGACAATGTCATGTTACGAGCTACCTCGTTACACCTATCCCATGTGTCAACCTGTCCCATGGCGTCCTCTAAATTCGTCTTATGTGTCAACCTGTCACACAACTGACTAATCAGATGAGGTCGGACTTACCTGTAGCAGGTATAGCACTTGAACTGCAGGAATTTTCAACCTGTTCGAGAGAGAAAACTCTGATACGTTTTATTGACTGTACAGAAGTATGATAAAAGTTATCACTTCTCCAGGTTAATAGGGGTTCGATCATCAACTTCAAGACCTGCTACGATAGGTTCGACTAGACCTGTTACGATAGGTTCGACTAGACCTGATAGGTTGTAAAATTCAGACATTTTAACATAGTGGACGTAGAAAGAGGGACTTTACGTACAACTAGCACGATGTCAAGTAAGACGGGACGGGGAGAAACGGTCGACATGTGGTACCAGCATGTGAAGACGTGCGGACTGGACGCACATTATCTGCAACTTAAGCTGGTCAAATTGCAGTGCAAGAGAATCACGTACAGTCTTCCCTACGATTATTTATGGGTAGACGGACGACAATCACCATAACTTAGCAGAGGGTTCTGACTTATTGATTTTTGTGTATCTTACATAAGGATAATCAATCAATTGAGTCACTAAAAAGCGGACCTGGTCACCCAAACTAATCCCCCACTTTCCTTTAATACAAGCCTACATCCATCCATCTTTGAGGCTTTCACTGCTGGAACAGAACAAAAGTCTCGGGCTTCTGGCTAGTTTTCTACCTTCCCAACGGTATGAGACGCACTCATAGCTTCTTTAGTTTAAGCTAACAATAATTACATAGGGAAAGCCATATATATATATATATTAACCCTGTATTGCCTGTTGTTTTGATATCTGAGCAATATAAATATCGCAGATCCGTCTTACCAATGGACAACGTCTGCAAATATACAAACAAAAAGAAGAGAATCTAGATTTATCTCAAACGGCACTGGCGAAATGGTCTACGGTGGAGTTCGGCCTTGTCAAAACGCTG